AAAATACTTTCTGGTCTATTGATTAGTCGAACATGTTGAGAAAATCATTTTCAAATATGCAATGCTACACAGATCCTCAGTCTGAAGCTGGAGATGTGGAACCACCTCCCAATTACACAGGTTAAATTACTTTTCCATTCATCGATTAATCGAACATAATGAGAAAATCGTTTTCAAATATGCAATGAAATTATTGAGCACACTCAGAGCATACTTCCTTTAAAATTTGAGGTTTCACTCCAAATACGAGTAATGGAATACACTCACACAAACACTTACTTCGTTATGGAGTGTATGTGTTTTACTCGTATTTGGAGTAAAAACTCAAAATTTAAACGGAGAATGCTTTGGTGCACCCATTGAACGGGCGGTGGTAAATTCATTTTTATTCACACACTGCCTTATGCGATACTGAAAATATGCGTTTTGAATACATTGATAAAGATGGAAAAAATAATTTTTATTATGAATTGGTGTGCTGTCAGACAATGCTTGCAGAAAGTCCGACAATACGTTGAAAAAATGCTTGCTGTAAGCATTCAGTTTAGAGTTGAATGGTTTCAGCTTAAACACAATATAAAAACTAAGGCTATTTCTCCTTTAAATACTTACATTTCTGCAAATATGTGGATACGTTCAAAGGATGGCCCAGAATAGCTGCCACTGAACTACAATATGCAAATTTCGTCCAACTTTGTTTCTATTTTGTCATTTTTCTTTTACAATACTCTCTTTTGATATGTTTGCAGGCAAATTACTTGAAATATTACTCCAACTATTGGGACTAGCACCAACAGATCAACATTTAAGCGCACTTAATAATGGAAAATGTTTCTGATTTGGATCATTTGAAACTTTTCCGATTCGAATTTTTTAATCGTTCTTTTAAATTGAGTTTCTTCATGGCGAAGTTTTTCATGCAAATTTTCCAAATTTATCTACATATCGATATATTATTAGTCTACATATCGAAAGTGTAAGTGAACTAAATGTTGACAATAAATACATAGTAATTATACACTTACAAATGAAATAGTTTATTTTAAAATGGCTTATCTTACTATAGTACAATATATAGAACGAGAACGGAGAAGAACTGTCAAAGAGAACACATCACATCAAGTAAACGCTCCGCATATAAAAAACTTTTTTCTAAAATTTAACTCATTAATCAATCAAGTAAAGACTGAAAACCAATTTATTTTCAACAAACAAGTCATTCTGAATTGGGGAAAGTTGGAGTTTACTGCGAAAATCAAGTTTAAAATAATAAATTCATCGATAATTGTTACACCGTAAACCAACCTAACCTCACATCGAGTGATTTGCGATTGTTATGTAGAAGAGAGAATATGTGCTAACCTCAAAAATTGCAAACGGGCGCAGCCCCAACATAATAAGTTCATCTGTTTTGGTCAAGGTGCGGAAATAGTACGAAATTTCAAAAATGCCGCGTATTTTAGTTACAAAATAAACTCCACTTTACATTGATTTGCTATATACCTCAGTGGCGCTAGTATCGTGAATGGGAGAAATTGACAGCTCTTCTTCCGAAACATGGTTTTGGTTAAGTTAAAACATTCAATCACAATGCCACCAAAAAATAAACATACGAGAAAAACACAACGAGCTGCATCGGTTGACAGTGGCCGTTCAATTCATTCAACGTGCACATCATCACCAATTGCTGAGTCGGATCTGCTGAAAAGCGACGACGAAACCGAAACAATGTCAACACAAGGAGAAAACAGTGAATTGGCGTCGGCTGCCGTGATTTCAGCAAGAAATGGGTCGAAACAGCAACAAAAGTCTGGGACTGGTGAAAGTGAATACAACTGCTTCGTGACATTAAGAAAAATCAGTTCACCAAAAAGGACAGCGTTTCCCTTAAAAAGTCATTTGATGATAAATTCGCCGTGGTACAGACTGAGTTGAATGCGCATAGCTCTCAATTTGTTGACATTGAAAATCGCCTGTCACAGTTTGAAAATTAGTTTGCGTCGGCCGCATACGATCGTGAGCTCCAGAAACAACAACAATTCAAGCCAAACATAAGCATTTTTGGATGTCCGAAGTCTGATAACGAAAATGTCAAAACCACTGCTTTGAACGTTTTTAAAGCCTTTGGATGTGAATTCAAGGAATCCGATTTCGCTGCGGTATACCGTGCTGAGGGAAAGTCGCCAAAATTCAGCTCAATAATTGTCAAATTCAATGATTTCAACAACAAATTGAAGGTGCTGAATTCGAAAGCAAAAAAGCCGGTGAAAGTGAGTGATGTCATTAGTAGTTCGACGAGACAAACGAATGCACAAATCTATCTCAATAATCATGTGACTCCCTTTTTCGGTCGATTGTTGGCTGCTGGGCGCCAAGCAACAAAAGATGAAATCATCCATTCGTGTTGGATTGGTACTACGGGGTGCCTTATCAAACTGAAGGAGAACAACAAACCTGTCAACATTCGCTCAATCGATGACATCGACACACTACGTGTACGGGCTAGCAAATCAACAAGCATGAAGAGAAACAAACCAGATGAACAAACAAGTCCGCATGATTCAAACGCTAAGAAAACCAAATGAGTTGCGGCAATGGTCTAAATGCATCACGTATCAGTTCATTCAAATTAATCAACGATTTTAAATTATTATTCATTTCACTTTTTTCTATAAAATTCAGTTTTACTTCTTTTTTTTCAACATTCGGTTCATTTCTTTTTTCTCTTTTGTTGTTTTTTTACTTTTTTCATTTCATTAAACCGAATCATTTACTTATTTATATAAATTATTTTTCTGGCTTTTTCATAAAAAAGAATTGGATGTGACTCGTAGGTATGACTTGGAATCTGACATAGACTTTGTTGAGGATTTGTGGGTACAGGTTAAATTGGACAACTCTGATAGTAATTTGTTTATATGTGCAGTGTACATTACATCCATGCCTAGCAATGCGCATCTATACGTTGCATTTGCTGAAAGAATCAAAGATAGTCTTTCAAGACTGGACCCATCTGATAGAGTGCTCATTATTGGTGACTTTAATGTGCGTGCTATTGATTGGGTCTTGGAAAACGATGGGATTTTAACACCTTTTCTCAGTAACAATTGTGAAAAAGCAATTGATGTACTAAATTTTATCAGCTTCGGAAACTTAAGACAGCACAATCCAGTAGTAAACAAAGATGGCAAGATTTTGGATTTAGTTCTATCTTCTGATCCGTTGAGAGCGCTCAATGTTGTTGAGTCGGATGAATTTCTAGTCAATGTGGATGGATACCATCCACCCCTTGAGATCACAATAAATGAAGAGGTGAAATATTTGCCTGTTTTTAATCACCGCAAATATAATTTCGGAAGAGCAAATTATGATCTGATTAAGACTGAACTTGAATTAACTAACTGGGAGTTTCTTAGTGATATTCCGCTTGAAACAGCAACTAGCAGATTTTATGATAGGCTCAATGAGATTATACACAAGTATACTCCAACATTCAAGGGTTGGCTGAAATTTCCACACTGGTTCGACAATGACTTAAAAACTGCTCTCCGGAACAAGGAAAAGGCAAGGAAAAAATATAAAATAACAAACTTAATTGAAGATTACCTTAAATTTTCGGATTTAAGAAGGGAATGCAAATCAAAAATTGAGTGCTGTCAATCTGCCTATATTACTCACATTCAAACAAATATGAAATCAAACATAAAATTATTTTGGGCCTATTCCAAATCAAAACGGCAAACGAATAGCTATTCATCTCAATTTAATTTTGACAATTCCACTGCCTCAATATCAATACCTAGTGAGATTTGTGAGCTCTTTAAATCTACATACACAGACCGTTCATCAAACCGCACATTCAACATCACACAAGCCGCAAACCCAACAACCGTAAACCCAATAAATATCACACAAAACGATGTTGAAAATGAAATTTCTAAGTTAGATTTAAATAAGAACGGTGGCCCTGATGGCATTCCAAATTTCTTTCTACGACAGGTGTGTGAACAAGTGTCAGTTCCACTGGCATTAATCTTCAATAAATCATTGTCGTGCTCTGAATTTCCCCTAGCATTCAAAACGTCATTGGCAACTCCAATTTTTAAGAAGGGTGATGAATCTAATGTGACAAACTACAGACAAGTCTGTATGGCCAACTCAATTGCGATTGTTTATGAGAAGATCATGAATAAATACTTATTATCGTTAATAGAAGATCAATTAACACCAAATCAACATGGCTTTATCAAGAACAAATCGACAAACTCTAACCTCATCGAATATGTAGGTCATGTATCGACAGCATTGGATGAGGGTTTTGAGGTACATACAATATATACAGATTTCACCAAAGTATTTCATTCAGTTGATCATGATATCCTCCTCTCTAAGCTACATTTAATGGGGCTTGATGCTGGATTGCTATTATGGCTGAAATCTTATCTTACAAGGCGACTTGTCTATGTAACATTCAATGGTCACAAATCATCACCGTTTGAGCCAAGTTCGGGTGTTCCTCAAGGCTCAGTTTTGGGACCCCTTCTATTTAACATCTTCATCAATGACCTCAGCGTACTACTGGAAAATTTGCATTTACTTTTTGCAGACGACCTGAAAATCTTCAGGATAATTCGAACTGCTAATGATGTAGTCGAATTGCAAAGGGACATTGATAAACTTCACAGTTGGATCGTTGACAATAAATTAAAACTGAACATTGGAAAGTGTTACGTCATGACATTTTCGAACAAGATAAGCCCAACACATGCCATTTATAACATTAACGGCAATCCACTGATTGAAGTTGATAATATGAAGGACTTGGGCGTCATTTTCGACAGAAAATTGAAATTCGATGAGCACATAAATTCAATTGTCAAAAAATCGTATAGTATGCTGGGTTTTGTAATGAGAACTGCATCAAAGTTCACTGACCTGTCCTGCGTAAATTTCCTGTATAACTCTCTTGTCAGATCCAGACTTGAATACAACACTGCTGTCTGGAACCCATATCAGAGCACATACATTTCGAAACTTGAAAAGGTACAGAGGAAGTACACACGTCAGCTCTTTTTTAAGCTACAATATGAATCATTACCGTACTCACAAAGACTTGAAATATTAAACATAAGCAAATTAGAGGGAAGACGTGAATACTTTGATGCCTGCCTCCTACACAACATTGTTCATGATGCAAATTTACTCCGTGACAACAGGCCAATCATCAATCATTGGAGTGAACCTTCAATCTAGGAGAACTCATCAAATTTTCAATCCTTATACATCTAGAACGGACTACGGTCTGCATCGCAATCCAATAATGCGAACACAACTACTCTATAATAGAAAATTCACCGACATTGACATTTTGAACCTAAGCAAAGTGCAATTCAAGAGTGCAATTAAAAATAGGATTTGATTTCGATTATTTTTCTTTTTTGCTCAGAAATTATAATTTATTCTTTATTTTTTTCTTTCAATCATTATCGAGAATTCAATAATTTTTGAAATGTTTAAATTCTTTGATCAAAGTAACTATCAAAACTGTAAAAACAAACTATAGGTGATAAATTGAACCCGTGAGCATAAAAACGACTTATTAAACAATCGCCGAACAAAATGATACAAGAAAAAACTACCGAACAAAACGTACCACAGCGGTAATGTGTAGCACAGCGGAGTTTCGTTTTGAACGGTACCGCCTTTACTCAATAAAAATAAAAAATAAAATAAAATATTGGGGCAATGAATGTCTTATCGAAAATCGACAAATTGCCGATATGACTTGCTTTACTATTTTTCACCGCAAGTTATGTATCAACACATCATCAAACAATTTATTACAATGTCTTCAAAAATCTATTGTACTGAAAATTCAATTTGAGACTAATGTATCAGACATTATAACATTTCAATCGATCATGTCATGAATTATACTCCTACCACCAAAATTTCGTGACATACTTATTCATGTTGCTGGTGCAGTAATCACAAAAATTGTAACAAAATTGCCAAAAGAACTTGGATGGAGAA